TGGGGGCTGGGGGTGGGGGTAACAAACGATGTCAGTTCCCTATATTACATGTAATAGATCGCTGATGATGTAACCGACAATACGTGTAACAGTCTTTATTTTGGATACCGAATAGCGTTTAAAGCTTATTTCTATATGGTTATAGTGTGGGGATTTTAACAGTTTTCATAGTGTGGCTCGAGGACTAATTTCTGAGGAGCAGGGCGGGACCCCGGAACTAGTACTGTTAGCATGTATATAGTCGTATCTCATGTATATAGTCGTCTCTCATGTATATAGCCGTCTCTCATGTATATAGTCGTCTCTCATTTATATAGTCGTCTCTCATGTATATAGCCGTCTATCATGCCTATAGCCGTCTCTCATGTATATAGTCGTCTCTCATGTATATAGTCGTATCTCATGTATATAGCCGTCTCTCATTTATATAGTCGTCTCTCATGTATATAGCCGTCTCTCATGTATATAGTCGTTTCTCATGTATATAGCCGTCTCTCATGCCTAAAGCCCTCTCTCATGTAAATAGTCGTCTCTCATGTATATAGCCGTCTCTCATGCCTATAGCCGTCTCTCATGTAGATAGTCGTCACTCATGTATATAGTCGTCTCTCATGTATATAGCCGTCTCTCATGTATATAGCCGTCTCTCATGTATATAGTCGTCTTTCATGTATATTGCCGTCTCTACTGTATATAGTCGTCTCTCATGTTTATAGCCGTCTCTCATGTATATAGTCGTCTGTCATGTATATAGCCGTCTCTCATGTATATAGCCGTGTCTCATGTATATAGTCGTCTCTCATGTATATATCCGTCTCTCATGTATATAGTCGTCTCTCATGTATATAGTCGTCTCTAATGTATATAGCCATCTCTCATGTATATAGCCGTCTCTCATGTATATAGTCGTCTCTCATGTATATAATCGTCTCTCATGTATATAGTCTTCTCTCATGTTAATAGTCGTCTCTCATGTATATAGTCGTTTCTCATGTATATAGCCGTCTTTCTTTCATGTATATAGTCGTCTCTCATGTATATAGTCGTCTCTCATGTATATAATCGTCTCCCATGTATATAGTCGTCTCTCATGTATCTAGTCGTCTCTCATGTATATAGCCGTCTCCAAGGTATATAGCCGTCTATAATGTATATAGTCGTCTCCCATGCCTATATTCGTCTCTCATGTATATAGCCGTCTCTCGTGTATATAGCCGTCTATCTTGTATATAGCCGTCTTTCTTTCATGTTTATAGTCGTCTCTCATGTATATAGTCGTCTCTCATGTATATAGCCGTCTCTCATGTATATAGTCGTCTCTCATGTATATATCCGTCTATCATGTATATAGTCGTTTCTCATTTATATAGCCGTCTTATATAGCCGTCTCTCATGTATATAGTCGTTTCTCATGTATATAGCCGCCTCTCATGCCTAAAGCCGTCTCTCATGTATATAGCCGTCTCTCATGTATATAGTCGTTTCTCATTTATATAGCCGTCTTATATAGCCGTCTCTCATGTATATAGTCGTTTCTCATGTATATAGCCGTCTCTCATGCCTAAAGCCGTCTCTCATGTATATAGTCGTCTCTCATGTTTATAGCCGTCTCTCATGCCTATAGCCGTCTCTCATGTATATAGCCGTCTCTCATGTAGATAGTCGTCACTCATGTATATAGTCGTCTCTCATGTATATAGCCATCTCTCATGTATATAGTCGTTTCTCATGTATATAGTCGTCTCTCATGTATATAGCCATCTCTCATGTATATAGTCGTTTCTCATGTATATAGCCGTCTCTCATGCCTAAAGCCGTCTTTCATGTATATAGTCGTCTCTCATGTATATAGCCATCTCTCATGTATATAGTCGTTTCTCATGTATATAGCCGTCTCTCATGCCTAAAGCCGTCTTTCATGTATATAGTCGTCTCTCATGTATATAGTCGTCTCTCATGTATATATCCGTCTCTCATGTATATAGTCGTTTCTCATTTATATAGCCGTCTCTCATGTATATAGTCGTCTCTCATTTATATAGCCGTCTCTCATGTATGTAGTCGTTTCTCATGTATATAGTCGTCTCTCATGCCTATTACGTGTACATGTGGTTATATGCGGGATATCTTAATCCTTTTAAGTAGTAAAGCTTTACACTTAACATCCCTATATTGGTGCCCGTCTCTTCTGCTCCAAGGGCCCCTCCGTCTTCATTTAAGAAAACCATATATGGCCAGATAGTCCTAGTTACAAACAGAGTACCAATCCATCGGTTTTACAGGAGTATGATTTCGAAACAAAAATAAGTCATCAATTCACCATTTAAGCCCCGACCTACTGGCTATTGAGATTGCACAATTATTTATAAAAGATATGCGCGCCTATATTTTTGGGGCCGAAATGATCAGTCGTTCAGAAGGAGTAATTAAGGTAGCAAATGAAAAAGTTGACGAGAAACGAACGGATGATGCTCGCTATATATCTACATTGCGATTAAGAATGAAAGTGTCTTCGTGTTTATATCAGTTGGGTTAACGATGCTGAATGAACTGACACCCTCTGACGTGGATGTGTATATCTATAATTCTAAGATTTAGTGTAAGTAGTAACCTACATACTCTACTGCAATAATTTAAAAAAAAAAAAAAAAAACTTTCAAATTCCATGTACATGGTCCTGACTCAACTTGAACTGTTCCAATATAACTCGGTAAATTATGTATGTGGCACCCCCTGTGTGTGATTTTTTTCAAAAGCTGGAAATACATTTTTTTCGATTGACCCATTGCCATAGTTACAAATGTAAGTTTATGAAAGTAGGTATTTTTGTTTGGAATCCATTTTTTCGGCAACTGTTGATAAACGTATAACACATCATACCAAAGACTTACTGTTAATAATTATTTATACTATACCCATTTTGTCCCATATTATAATAAAAAAAAAAAATGTTATAAAAGCTGATATATTTTTACTTTCATGAATTCTAGGATCGGTATGTCTTATTCAGTTTCTTTATTACTCTTGACACACTTGTGTGTGTAACAAGAGGTCAAAACAGCACACACGGCTGACAGGGTAATACATTTACTAAGTTCATTGTAAATGTATGAATAATTATGTTACATACGCATTAAAGTAACTCATCCAAGAATAATAATGATTAATTGCAAATTATAAGCATATAAAGGTAATAAATAAAAAATTTATGCAATTTTAGAATAAACTGCAATTGCATGATAATAA